GCTAATATTATTATTGTTATCATTGTTATATTATTATTATTACTATAATATCGCTGTTATTTTTATTAAATTTATTATTATTATTATTATTATCATTATTATTAGTGTTATTGTTATTGTTATTATTATTGCTGTTGATATTATTTATTACTGACACTCTGTTCAAACGGCGTACACTAATTCGCTACTCTGACGCTGCATACACCGACACGTTACCTTATTGAGATAATTCCCCGGGAAGAACTTCTCCCTGACAGCCGGGTTGATTGCGAAACATGTGACCGCATCCTCGTCCTCCCCTTGCCTTCTGACTAGCGTCCACTGGCTGCCCATCCGGGCCTGGGAGCAGGGGCAATCCAGCAGAGTGTTGACGTCACTGGTGAAGGAGTCGTTGGTGAGCAGGGGCAGGTTGTCGGCGTAGAAGCGGGCACACTGGTGGAAGGGGCTGGCTCGTGCCACGTGACCCGCGTGTAGGAGGAACGTGCCGCGGACACCTGGAGGGGAGGGGAAGGGGAGGTGAGGACATGACGTCATGGAAGGGAAGGGGGGATGAGGACATGTACGTCGTGGAAGCGAAAGGGGAGATGAGGACATGTACGTCATGGAAGGGAAAGGGGAGATGAGAACATGTACGTCATGGAAGGGAAAGGGGGGATGAGAACATGACGTCATGGAAGGGAAAGGGGGATGAGAACATGACGTCATGGAAGGGAAAGGGGAGATGAGGATATGTACGTCATGGAAGGGAAAGGGGGGATGAGGACATGTACGTCATGGAAGGGAAAGGGGAGATGAGGACATGTACGTCATGGAAGGGAAAGGGGAGATGAGAACATGACGTCATGGAAGGGAAAGGGGAGATGAGAACATGACGTCATGGAAGGGAAAGGGGAGATGAGAACATGACGTCATGGAAGGGAAAGGGGGGATGAGAACATGACGTCATAGAAGGGAAAAGCAGTCCTGGCATGATGTCAGGACGGCGGTGTGGACATGGCGCCCTGGGAAGGAAAGGGACAGCGAGGACGTGGAAGGGAAAGGGGTGGTGTGGACATGACGTCATGAAGCGTGGATAAGGGGAGATACAAAACGGCCAAACAAAACCCTCACACCCACTCCAAAATCTTCTCTCCTCAGTCAACACCATATCCCTCATGTAAACAATGACCTCGCACCGACAAACAACTCATGCCTGATCGGGGAGCTGAGCGGGACTCACAAGGAGCTACCCAGCCGCCCTACTCGTCGCGGCCAGTCAAGTCGACAACTACACACAAGACAAGACATAAGGTAAGGAGTGTGCCCCTCCTACACCCTTCCCTTTCCACCCCCAATCCTCTTTTCCTCCCTCCTCTCCTCCTTCCTCTCCGTACCCGCACTCCCACCTCCTACCCCACCCCCATTCCTTCAT